CTGTCTCTGTCTCTGTCTCTGTCGCTGTCGCTGTCGCTGTCGCTGTCGCTGTCGCTGTCTCTCTCTCTGTCTCTCTCTCTGTCTCTGTCGTGTCTCTGTCTTTGTCTCTGTCTGCGTCTGTGTCTGTGTCTGTGTCTGTGTGAGGGTGGGTGGGTAGTGCGCAGTTTGGAATGATGCTATTCTTGCTGTCGCTCTCCCACATGCATGCGCTAGGACTGCCGCATGCTCCGCTCATCCGCTCCGAGCAAGAAGAGTCGGAAGAGGCCTTCTTCGGGGATGAGAGTTTGGCAGTTACAGCTTCGCGGATGGTGGACGTTGCTAGGGTATCCCGTTAATAACTCCCGCAGTTTGTTCCTGTAGCCAAAGTTCATAGCCTGCAACATGGAAGGCTAGGGCCCCTTACCTACTGGATTGTAGTTTATCCCTTAACGAATGTATCAACTACGGGGACCGTTGAAGGCTCCGTGTTTGAAGGTGTTCGGGCTACCAGTTCTTTACGCAGGGCGATTCCGGAAGGATCTGAGGTCGGGCTGGGAGGTGTCTTCTGACCCGACAAGATTGATGCAGGGCCTGCGTATATAGTGCTATGGGGCATCTCTTCGAAATGGTCATGCTGGGCAGCAGCAGCTGCTTTCCATGAAGGCCTTCTTGAACCAACTGCTTTGTGAAACCATCCACGATACTCGTCCGGCCCTGCAACACGCTTAGCCCACAGCCCTGAACCCTCTGAGCCTAAAGCCCCAAACCAAAGAGCCTCTACAGAAGCCCTGCAGCCCTGTTGGACCCCTAAGACCTGACAGGTTCCCAGCCCTAAGCCCGAAAGCCCAGGGCACCAACATGCCAAGAGTAACAGGAAAGTCCCGGCCCTTGCCCTGAGCCCTAAAAGCCCGAGGAGCAGGAGCCCCTTTACGAAGAGGTGGCGGCCAGCTCGGGGCCCAAAGCTTTTGCCCCCAGCTTACCTTGGGGGTTCAGGGTTAAGGGTATTATAATATATTAGAATATATCAAAACTTTCAAGACTATGTATAAACAGACACAATACATATATATATATACACATATATATATATACACTCATATTTATATTTACATTTATATTTATATTTATATTTATAATATTATAGGGGTTCAGGGTTTGGGTTTATGGCCTCTAGGAGTTTGGGGCTTGGGGAACTCTGCAAGAAGCCGAAGTAGGCCCCAAACCCTCCTAAGTTTCAAGCTGCCTCTCGCCCCCCCAAAGCCCTCAACTCCACACCCTGAAGCTATACCTCCCGAGCCCGTAAGCCTTTTTTGTTAATTATCGGTTCAGGAAAACAGTCGACTCTGGTGGCCCTCAGACCTGAAATGACAGTTTGCCTCAGGCAAGGTGCATGCAGCGCAAGCCGCGCAAGCGAAAAAGTTCGAGGACGAAGAGGCCGCGACTGCGATTCGGGGCTCAGGACCGGATTCACTGCATGGGTAGGTAATCTTGAACTCCGGCGGGTCTCCAGCTCGCGCACGATGCCTGTGCGTAGTGAGGCTCCAGGACGGTAGCCGACGCGACTCGGCATGTCAAGCCGTCGATTCACAGTCTGACTAGAGCTAGACTGACGCTGCGGAGCATGCTGCGACCTTCGGGAATTTCAGGCAGCTGGTAGATCTACCATAGACCCGACAAGCCGGCATTCAGACCTAGCGGACCTACCGAGATGCAGAATAGAAAGCCAAGACGGAGTCGGATAACAAAGCAGCATCCGTCCTTCATGACTGTGGAAAGGGAGAGATTTGTGTTGATCTCATCTTTTCTTCAGAAACATTGGTTGGACAGAGTGGATCAACCTGCAACTCCTTTCAGCGCCGCTCGAAACTCCAAGTCAATACTGGACCCCCTTCCCCGTCACCCATGAAAGAAAGAGACCAGAGGTGACAGACCCAAACAGCTGGGGCCTCGGATGCTGTGGCTGGCGTTCATGTGTTGAACCCTAGCGGCTCTTTACGGTGCAGACCCATGCACAATCCCCCCTGATTAAGGAAAATACCTTAAATCATAATATTATGGCCCCTATAAGTTAAGGTCTATTCCTTAACTAAGGCGTATTGGGTTCTCTGGGGAGTGTACATGTTGGGGCTGACATGGCAGTCCGAAGCCCCGAAGGGAGACATCAATACCCCCAGCCCAAACCAAGAACCGTCGAACCCGGAACTGAAATTCAGAATCCCCAAGCCAAACGGAAGCCGTTGGCCGCCCCAAGCAAGCAAAGCTGAGTTCCCAAGTCCTCAAGGCCATGACCCACGCTTTCGCGCCTACGCAGACCTTTCTGTGCATGAAGTCGCATACTGCATTGCTTTTTTGATATTCACCTGACTGGATGCATCTCTGTATGTTTATACAACATTGCCTTTATCTTCACCGGTAAGTCTACCTTTCGAGAGGGCCTGGGAGTCCCCATGGGACTTCTAGGGAGGTCGCAAACCCGTTTTCTTTTAGGGGTTTAATTTTAGCGTTGAGGAAAATGGGGCTTCGGGTTTCGTGTGGGGCTTCAAAAGCCCTCACTTTGAAGATGTCAACCAAAAGCGCGAGTTTGACTTTGGTGCGTTTGAGGTTTATAGGGTTTCGGATGATTCGGGTGTCGTTATCAGGTTTGGGGGTTGGGTGCAGCTCGGGTGCTAACCCGGGAGCCCGACTTCCAAACTTCAGACTTCTAAGAGGCCCTTTACACCGAAAGTTCAGAAAATGACCTCAGGCGTTCGGGCCTCCGCGCCGGACGATTGCTACGATGACGAGACATCGAGGAGACCGGGCTGTGACGCAGGTTTGATGTATTCGGGTTCAATCGGCAAGGCTTCCAAGGCCCTTGAGCCCGAGGGCCTCATGACATGTACATTTAAACATATAACATACATACGTGTATGTATATATATATATATAGATATATGGAGACGTTTCTTTTTTGTGTATAGATGTTGATATCTGTTTATGTGACAGGCCCCGACAAGAACCAACCGCCGCAAGGCAGGTTTGGAGAGTTCAAGGGCATCATGTCGAAACTGCAGATGGGTAGTTCTCTAAATTAGGGTCCCTATTAGGGTATATTGGGGACCTAGAAAGGGGCCCTAATTTAGAGAACTACCCAGATAACGGCTTGGGATTTCTGGTTTGCGGTGGTGCAATGAAGCATCCTGGACTTTACAAAGATCTTCCTTACCTTTCGCAACCAAACTGACAAGCCAATGCGTTTTTTGTTTTATCACGGCATTCGGTACATCCCCGTTCACAAGTAAGATTCTGGTTTAACCACCAATTTTGCGCAAGACTATCGGCAAAAACCGTTGTAAAAACAAAATTTTTTGGCACCACACCCTGTCAATTCCAACCACCATCCCCTGGTGTTACCAAAATTGTCGGCAATACCGAATTCCCAAATCCAACAATACCTTGACAAGTCCAAGGTTTTCTGCACTTCTCCATTTGCGATACACCGTTCTATATACATATATACGTATACACACA